CTTTCTGTTTCAAAGTAAATTTATATTTCTGTTCTCAAGTGGACTGTATGGGATTAGTGAAAACTATCATATCTAGTACTGACCTTACAAAGTTCCCATTCATGATCAACCCTGTTCCCAAAACAGTTATTGTCTCAAGTGCTCTGTCCTAAATATTAAAACATTTAATACTTAGAAAAGCATGAAGTTGGTGTATATCATTTTATTCAAACACTAACCAAGTCTGTTTGTCTTAAAAGTTATTAGAATTTCCAAATTTTGAAGTAATTATTGTAAATTTGTTTATAAAGTACTCATTAATTAGGGATTTTGACAACGTCTAGTAAACTTAATAATTCTAAATATAAAGAAAAATCCTAATACATATATGTGTCTGTCTGTATGTGAATGTAATGCTTGTTTCAATGATAACAAGAATATTTTGGTGATGAAAATGATGCATAATTAAAAAATAATGACATTTATATCTTCTTTAGCTACAGATACAGATCTTTGACCCAAAAACAGTATAAAGAACACACAATTAAAAGTTTTTGTGATATTTTTCACCAGGGCCAACATTATTGAATAGGGTGGAAAAATAGAGGGGCTTAAAAATAAAAATAATTTTATTCCATTGCCAAGTTCACCTGAAAGTTTTTAAACATCACCTTTCTCATTATGGTTCCCCTAGCTGAGCTTGTCTGCTGTCGGTAGCCAATAGGAAAGCAGGGAAAAGACATTCACTTTCCCTTCTCGTACAGCACAGAATTTTAATTAGAAATTATGCGCAATAAAAAATATTCCAAAAAATGTGTAACTATGAATGATATTTCAAATCAAATCCTGGAAACCAGAACAATGTTGTACATAAGTGAGCAGTGACTTCTAGAGAAAGCATGAATAATAAAAGCATTCTTATAAAATTACTTTTTGATTTATAAAAAAATGGCAATTAAAACAGTAATAGCTCAAAAGTGGTTTAGCAATGAACTTAGGAAAAACATGGACAGTAGAAGGCACCATCTTTCTGGGGCCAATACCAGAAAAGACTATGGATGTGCTCAAACACTCCCAATATAAAGTATTTTATTCTGGCTAAGAACAACTGAAATGTTACTACCAGGATTGTTAATAAACGAAATGGTCAGAAACTTACTTTTTAGCAGTATATATTAAGTAAATATATGGGTGTGTTAGGCTAAGGATTCTTCCACAGTAGGTGTCTGTGACTTGTTGGTGATAAATTCAACAATAAACGAACAGCATGCACAACACTTGCTTTTTAAAATAATACATATATATTAGAAATAACTTGAACGTATATACAAAATTCTTTACACTATGGAGATCATAATTGTATCTCAAATACTATACAGTTTTCTTCTTGTCAAAGTCCACTTAGGCCAATTCAATTGCTTTAGAATTCAATTGACAAGTCAAACTATTTTTCTCTATTTTTAAAACAATAGTATCTATATATAATTCACTTACGCTGTCGCATGAGTTACTATAGTTATATCCTATACTTCCAAATAACTGTCTGCTTTTCGTCAAAGTCCATACAGGTGGATTCAATTGGCTTAGAACACCCTTTGACAAGACAAATTATTTTCCTTATCTCTTTCCAACTATTAATCTCATTCTAACATATCAGTTGTTAGGCCATTCACTTCTACAACAGTTAACTTTGCATTTTCTAACTTTTCTCTCACCGAACTTCTCTTTCCTGTGACTATACTTTTTATTCTCTCCCTATTTCTGCTCATCTGATCACAGCTATTTATACATCTATCACTTAGGTCTTCTAGAAATCTCTATAGCCTCTACATCAATGGATTGCACACAACTTTTGATAGCCTCAACATCAATGAATTACAAACACAAAATAAATTAATTAATAATACTACCTACAGTAAACAGTCTTTTATATATGGCAGAAATATTTAACAAAAGCTACATAAAAAAATATACTCCTTATACCTGACATGAAATTTTACAGACTACATGTTTGAATGGAACTGGACAATTAATTCCAATACCTATGAGCATGAATTACGTCAATTAGTGTCACGTAAAATTTTAATTAAATTGACTAATTTCACGAAAACAATTGATTATTTGAAATTATTGTTTCCAATACTGTTTTCTTTATTCCAACTATCCAAGTCTCATGTTAGAATAATCAATTAGTTGAATGTAATCTATTACTAAGCCAGACAAGTGATCAATTAAATTCCACTGATAATCCAGCTCTACACCTGAAACTTCAAAAATTTTTAACTACACAAAACAACTTTCACCGAAGAATACAAACTTAGTACCAAGCAAAGTTACGAAGCAAAAATCAGATCAAAATAACCTACTTCAGAAATTATCACAAAAAATTTGCTTAACAACACCTATAATTCTTTAATTAAAACTCACCAAAATCTTAAGAGAGTAATTCTCACAATATATCTAACTCCCTAATCTCTTGTATGTCTGGCTTCAATTCTATTTTCTGTTATACTTTTATTTTCTACCATGCAACAATTCAAAACATGGTTACTGTTGACCACTGACAGAATATTTTATCAAAGTGTTCATTCATGATGTCAGAAAGACACGTATGGTTCCATATGTCTTGCTACAAAATGCTAAAACTCTATAACCTGAGCACTTTCTAAAGATGGACCTTTCTTCTTCAGGGGCAAACTGAAGAAGAAAGGTCCTCCTTTCGAAAGATCTCGGGCTATAGGGTTTTTATCATTTTGATCAAGGCGTTTACTTACTGAAACAAAAATATCATGACAAAATCCTTCCGCCCCTCTACAAACATTAGTACTGAAATTTACTAACAACCGAAATGAGCTGACCTTTCATAAATAATTTAAACTACATGATAAAGGAAAAAATATGTAAACTATAGATATAATAATATATAACATAAAAGTAAGTTGTGGTACTGACAAATTTAGACATACCTTGCTGAAAGAACAAGGTGATTCTCAGCGGCAACTGACCATACAACATCGCTGTGTCCCTCTAGAGAAGTAACAACAAACTTTGAGTGTATTAACTTCTTGTACTGTTCTTCTTGTTCCACACCATCTACAGTAGGTGCTGATGGTGCTGGTGATAGCTCTGATGGTGATTCTATAAAATGATAAAACAGATTCTGTCCAAAAATCATTTAAAAG